TTCTTTGTCCACAGATAAAGTATATTCAATAACATCTGAAGACTTTCAGGATCAGAGCTGAGTAAAACAATGTCGTCTGCATATAATAAAACGGAAACATTAAAATTGTCAATCTGTATACCGCAGTTGCTCTCTTTCAACTCCTCAGCAAGATCGTTAATGTATATAGCGAACAGCGTGGGTGATAAAACACATCCTTGCTTCAAACCAGATTCAACAGGGAAGGTGTCTGTCTCATAGTTGTTTACTTGCACAGAACATAGAACGTTGTCATACAGCGATCTGATAGCTTGGGGAATATTGCCTGATATGCCATAGTCCATGAGCTTAAACCACAACAAGTCTCTATTTACAGAATCAAATGCCTTCTTAAAATCGATGAAACAAGTATAAGTAGTTTTTTGCTGTTTTTTCTGTTATTTACAATACTATATAAACTATATACATGATCAAGGCAGGACCGTCCTCTTCTAAAACCGTTTTGCTCGTCGACCAATATGTCCCGGGACTCGAGATATTTACACAATCTGTGATTGATGACGTCAGCGTATATCTTGGAGGGTATAGATAAAATGGTTAGTGGTCTGTAGCTTAGAGGGTCACGTGGGTCGGCGTCTTTACTCTTCTTGGGAATGGGATTTATTTTACCATGGTTCCAGATGCTCGGCACATTACCGTACTAAAACTGTGGGAGACGAGTTGATACATTAACTCAGCACAAACATCATTTTTGAGTACAACGCTCGGAATGTTATCAAGTCCCACCGCCTTTCCAACCTTAGTTCGATTAATAGCACTCTCTTCTTCTTCCCTAGAGATCGGGTCATTCAGGACAGGAATGGTCTCTGATTCTACTTGAATGTTGCTCAACTTCTGTTGCACATTAGATGTTCGTCGTTAAAATCCCCAGAATCACTTGTAGGGTTGTACAAAGATCTATAATCGTCCTCCCATCTCTGCAGAAGGGAGGGCGCGTCAGAGCTCACAACTTCAAGGGGAATAAAACTTTTTCTGTCATTACCAGTCTCTATTTTCCCTAAATCTCTCCAAAAGTCTTTATTCCCATCATTAAGTAACTGAGAAAGTTCATCTTTTTTCTTCTGTTGGTAATCTCGCTTAGCTCTCTTCACACTTTTATCGAACAGTCGGCGAACGGCACAGAAATCCTCTTCCTTTTAGATTTTAATTGTGTATTTCCTTTACACTTTAACCAAAGTTTCTCTTTCCTACAGACGTCATGACCCATCAAAAGTGTTAGTCGGCATGCATCAAATCTTTATAACCGGTGAGATTGTGATAGCTGTCACGCCTGACTTATTTGTCGGAATGACACGTCTGAAAACACGGGGTGAACCGTAACACAGTAATTCGGGGTAATGATTTTTTGTGCTATAGAATCAAAGTACCGTTGTGCTGCATGTATATGGAGTACATATATCTTAAGATGATGTGTCATTCCTTATTCAGTACGATTTATGGCATAAGTATATACATTTAAAAGTAGACACATGCTAACAACAATAATAATGACAGAGAGATAAATAAACGCAGGTCGGGTAAGTATCATTACCTTTGTTTAATTATAAGTTGCCATTTTTTAAACATTTGTTCATAAGGTGAAAGAAATGATGGTACAGAAAAAAGACTAGCAATAAACACTATAACCGTGATGCAATCGCGTTATTTAATACAATCCACGAAGAACAATATATAGGGCGTCTTTTTACTATTTATTCCGTATTTGATATCAATAATTTATTTATGGATACAAAAGAATCACAAATTTTATTTGATTTTATCATTAAATGTTTATTAATATCGCAAATCGGTTTTTAGATATCAATAACTGAATTTATCATCAAATAATGTATTTTATCATCTAAAAAAATCGAATATGGTATTGTATCTATAGCCTTCGTCTCCGTGAACTTTATGCCCATTTTTTAAAAATGCGTGAAGATAAGAACAGTATCGTAACATTTACATATATAGTCATATTCAGATGATGTCTCATAATAAGTAAGGGCAAACTTCTTCCCGTTGTTTAATCAGTGTTCCTCCTGGCTATGAATGTGGAACTTTGGGGCTACATATGTCTCTTGTTATCATTGTATTTTAATGTAATTTGAATATTATTATTTACTATCGTACTCACTTCATGTTTTAAAGGGCGCATGTTTCTAGGTTTGTCAGCACCATACCCGTGCTCGTGGGTTTCACCGAAGTGGTAAACGTCTGAGACCTGAATCACTTCGGGCTTTCCTCCCACATTAAGCTGACACGCCGTGATATAACTCGAATACTGTTAAAAGGGGCGTTAAACCCAACTCACTCACTCATGTTTTAAATGCGACTTCATGTCTTAATGAGACCTGTCACCACAAATTACGATTATTGCTTGTTAGCTCAACACCACAATTGACAAATACTCTAAAATATATGATGTACGTTGAAAAAATATATATTGTAAATGCCAAAATGATGTATCTAGATCAGGTAGAAGATATATTGACAGTAGCGCTGGGAATGTATTCAGCAAGCCCGTGAAAACAACACTGCTTTAGCTCAATGTTAACCTCTCCATGCAGCCATTATGCAACGGCCATCTTACACACAACCCCGCCCGTGAAAACAACACTGCTTTAGCTCAATGTTAACCTCTCCATGCAGCCATTATGCAACGGCCATCTTACACACAACCCCGCGCTCACGCCTACAGGTCTCTTTTTGTGATACGGTAATTAGTAGAACCCTCTCACTCAAGTGTATCCTCCATGAAAAACCTACTCTCATAAATTTAAATGCTGCCCTTTCCCATCGTCATGGCTATAGAGCTGAGACAAAGAGACCCAACCATCATAAAGTAATTAGATGCCATAAAAAACAATGCTCTGCCAAACCTCATGAACATGATCACTGAAAGTCGTACTACAGACGTTTAATGTCAAAACACAAAAAACAACATTTAACATGATAATGAATTCTCTTAATACCATCGCAAAACATCATGTAGTAGTCACAACGGTACTCATATTTTCCAACAAAATCACATCTAAAATGAGACATCAGCAAGTACATATAATAAAATGTGTATTAACCTTTTTCGTCAGGAAATAACAAAATTATCTCATTGTTACCACCTCCAAGTTCAGTTACTCACGGGTCCTCCTTTGGTCAAAAGTTTGTTACCCCTGTAATGAGTGTGACACGCGTTGCACACGAGTGACGAACGGGGTGCACACCCGTGTTCAAAGCGTTGCACACGGGTATCACACGCGTGGCGGACGGGTTCCACACGAGTTACCAACTGGGTGCACACGGGTTGCGTACCGCGTTGCCCATGCGTGTAAGGGGAATGGACTTCTAGGCAGTAGTGTAGCTGTGGAACGAACAGTCAATACTCGATTAGTTTGGTATATGGAAACTAATAATCGTATTACCAACATTCCGTTACATTTCTGTTCAAATCGTGCTACTATTAACCGTCTAGTAGGTTTGGAATATTTTATAAAAATGCCTTTGTAAATAAACGCCATACAGTATCTAACTTTTCTATTTAGAAAAGAACCCATACCGCATGATACCACATGATAACATAATACCACATGGAAGCATGGCATTCTGAATGGACGCTTGCCTCATTTTATATTCATGTGAGAGACAGCTGCAACTGTGTCTCAACATGATTCGGAAATGGTGTTTTGAATATGGTTTGAGGTTTTCTAAATCCAAGACAAACTTGTTTTGGTTTTGGTTTGTTGTTTAACGCCGCACTCAGCAATATTCCAGCTATATGACGGCGGTCTGTAAATAATCGAGTCTGGACCACACAATCTAGTTATTTACATCATGAACATCGATCACCGCAATTGGAATCGCATCAACCAAGTCAGCGAGCCTGACCACCCGATCCCGTTACTCGCCTTTTACGACAAGCATAGTCGCCTTTTACGGCAAGCATGGGTTGCTGAAGACCTATTCTACCCCGGATCTTCACTGGGACCAGCACCTTCTACTTGCAGACAGCTAGGATGAATGGGTGTTTAATATTTGTCTTCTGGCTTATTGTGTGTCATCATATGGAAACACACAGGGTTGTTGCTTTTGCTATCAACACTGATTTTCTTGCCCCGAATAGATTATATACAATATTGTGATGTCACTGAACAAGAACTCACTCGAACTGAACATTATGTACATAGTAGAGGGCACCATGAAAGTTCAAAACAATGTTGACGAGGGGCCGCTTGCTTCAGGAAGCACGAACGCCGCTGGATACTCAATAAACGTGACATTATGTATTGCAAGGACAATTCGTCTGGTGCCATAATTGAGTCATGGGTCAATTTTGACTTACTCGAACGAAAAGCCGGATTGAATGTTGGCCATCTCATGGGAAATAGGTTCCTCATGCTTACAAGTACTTTTTATGCTAATAGATGAAACACGTGGCTGCAAAATAGGCATAAAACTTTAACATGGCAGTTATTAGAACTCTGAGGCTCATTTCGGTTTGACGAATTAACACGTGAATGTCTGATGAGAATAATTCTGGTATCTTTGCTACCTGATAAAAACGTAATTTTAGTCTCTTAGGCGCTTAGTTTGAGATGGACGTTTGTAACTCTGGCAGCTGTTTGAAGTGTCCGCTTTGGAAACACAAATTGAATTAATATATATTCTCGCAATTTGAGCCATGTTCAATTACAGTCTTGTCCTATGTCAGCAATCAAATTTATTTAAAATATCGATACCACAAGCCCATTACAAGGATAGGTAAATGTATGGAACAATTCAGCTGAGTTTGACCAGATTTGACCAACTTTGCACAGCGAACTGCGACACATGATGTGGCGTACCCGCCGGTAAGAAATGAAAGTACATGGTGTATATTTCTACGTATATTCATCTTCGGTCAGTGTTGTTCATTCCACGCACTGAATGGAATGTTTTAATCTTTATGACACTTAGGAATGGTATCCATTTTCAAATTGTTGTGGAATTCCATCACGGAATATTTTGATGGACGGTGGTACCAATCTGCTTTTTCACAGTCTCCGTGAAGAACACCTACACCAGGTACAGAAACAAACCCGAACGGAAGGTAGAAAATAAGTGAATGAAAACATTTTCAGTACAGAAACATTTATGAACTTGTTCAAACAAAATTTGAGGTTAAGTTCATAAAAATATTAAAAAATCGTAAAACAACTTAATGGCGATGCAGATGCCAATCATAGATAAAGAGGTGGACGGTAGATTGAATTCTGTGTAACCCTACATCTACTCACAATCGAATAGGTTCTACAGCACAATACAAAGATAGTTTTCAAATTGCTGGTACTTAATGCATCTTTATTGTATTTGGGAATGTTAATAAAAACACAACGAATATACAGATAACACGCACCATATGGTCATGTCCCTACAAGTAATATCCTCAAACTTTAAGGAGTGCCAGTCTGATTTACATGGTGTGCCAAGACATTACTGAGATGGAACGCGAATATTATTACGAAGCTGACGGAGCTTATTATGTCGGAGCTTGTGTTCTTATGTCCAATGCGTGGGTAACGTATATGAGAAAAGAGATTATTATTTAAGGTTTTGTAATTCAGGAAATTGGAATGAACAATGATAACTTTATGTCTACATAATGAATTTAAACGTTCTTTCTGAGTGGTATTTATGATAAAATATACATTCTGTTCTTCCCTAACCCTCCAATAAACTATTAGAAGATGAGTTTCACTTAAGCAGGTGTCTGACAGAGGAAGCTAGAACTGAAAATAGAACAGTCGTAGGTTCTATATATCATATTTTCGAAAGGGGCCGTATATCCGCAACTCTGTTGCGCTTGGGGATATCCACTAGCCCATACGTTGTTGCTGTCCATGAGGGCGCCGTTGGTCCAGTAGAGTTTCCCATCAGCGGCACTTCGGGTGATACCCACAAATAGAGAGTTGGCCACGTTCTGCAGCAAGCGTTTCCTGTCTGTAAAGAAAGAAGGAGAGCAATTTCAGTTTCTAGTTACTTCTATAGTTTATAATGATCAAGGCATCGTGTAAATGATGGCAGGATGTGGCAACCAACCACGTTCAGAGTGGTTCAAATGATTCACAAAGCAGGTGAGTCGAAATGGGGTTTAACGTCGCGTCCAAGATTATTGCACTTATATAGCGACGTGCATGTACGTGTGTGTGTTTGTGTGTTTGTGTGGCTGCTTGTACTAGTCCGGACTGATGCCGATTTATAGTGCTAGTTCACTGAGATACCATGCCGCAGTTTTAACATGAATACCCCACTCAGACACAGTATACTGACTCCGAGCCGACCAGTCCTTGTTTTAGCCCCTTAATGCCGAGCGCCAGACAGGGTAACAACAAGTACCATCTTTTAACGTCTTTTGGTATGACGCGGCCGGGGATCAAACCCCGGACCTTCCGCTCTCCGTGCGTACGCTCTACCACTAGACCACGGAGGCGGTCGATTCACAAAGAAAGAATAGTAGTGGGTGAGTTTAGGTGTTAAACTGCGTGTCATATGGGGAATGTCAGAAGGGAGGAAGGGCCCAGACGTTTACAGGTTTCGTGATATCCACGAGCACCGATGTAGTGTTGACCAACCTAGACATTTTAGCAGGACAAAACTGAGATTAAGATCAGCGATCGTAGGTTTCTACTAGGCTTAATGAATCATGGGCGCCTTTACGACTAATCATCGATCTCATTCGACCATACATATAAAATATTTTTGAACTTTAAATATTTTTGGTAACTATTTAAACTTGTTGGAATGAAACAAATTGATGCACGCAAATTGAATACGTTAATTAAGTACAAAAAGGTACGCTAAAACTTTCATATATCATTACATGGCATGCCGACCACATGCAGTCGAGAAAGATACAATTACACGATAGCCTACTCTAATAATACAATTTCTGACTACACAATAGTATGCCTATATCATCACCGTCTAGGAACATCGTCACTGCGTCGAATCGTTCCTGTGTGTCCAGTGACGCTATATCGCCTCCATTCTGTATGCATATTGTGCGAGCCTCATTCCAGTATTTGTTGGTGTCATGGTATGTGTACATGACTGGTCCCGTTACAGGAGCTGCCACAGTCGTCGTAGTTGTAGTTGGGATTGTAGTGGTGGTTGTAGTGGTGGTTGTAGTGGTGGTTGTAGTGGTAGTGGTTGTGGTTGTAGTGGTGGGAAGTGTTGTAGTGGTGGTTGTAGTGGTAGTGGTTGTGGTTGTGGTTGTAGTAGTGGGAAGTGTTGTAGTTGTGACAGTAGTTGTTGGAGCTGCAGTCGTGGTTTGGGTTGTCGTAGTTGTTGGAGTAGCAGTTGTTGTTGGAGCAGCAGTTGCTGTTGAAGCAGCAGTTGTTGTTGGAGCAGCAGTTGTTGTTGAAGCAGCAGTTGTTGTTGGGGCAGCAGTTGTTGAAACTGCAGTTGTTGTTAGAGCAGCAGTTGTTAAATCTAAATAGAAATGTTTATATTTGTTTTAGAACAATATAATCATTTTAAGTGTATCGTTTCGTCATGGGTATCGGTTACACAAATTGCAAAGGTTTGTAAAAGAAATAGAAGTTATGAAATAGAGGAATAAACATTTTATTTAGCGAACCTGTCACAGTCGTCGTAGTTGTAGTAGTGGACGTAGTGGTGGTGGTTGTAGTTGAAGTGGTAGGAGCTGTTGGAACTGCAGTTGTTGGAGCAGCAGTTGTTGAATCTAAACAGAAACGTTTATATTTGTTTAAGAACCATATTTGAGTGTACCGTTTCGTTATGGATATCAATTACATGTATTGTAAAAGTTTTTAAAAGAAGTAGTAGTTGTTCCTTTTTTTATTACTAGAATCTGTCATACATGGACAATTGAATACAATTTGCGATATATGATATTGTGATCACCAGAGTCAGTGGTTTTGAACAGTATTTCATTTGTAGGGGAAACTAGGCGTCGTGCCGGTCTTTGACAAAAATTATTACCACTTTTGTAAAGCCCGTGAGCAGGGGAATGGTGCTGACATACAGCGAAACATAATCCCAACAAACCGGTTTCGAACCTTCAATAACAGATTTCTTGTTGGCCTGCACTACGCGGTGCATAGCGACAGGGGCGACCTTGGCCGCCATTTATCACATGCTGGATCATTCATCGAAAATGACGGCAGTGAACACGATATTATCAATAATCGAGATCTATATTGTAATAAAACGAGTCTTACTTTGCGGAAAATATGAAGAGTTTTGGGAAATGTCTGTTGAAGGCATGTTGACGGTAAACATGCTTTGCAAATCCTGCAATTGACCGAAATCTCAACTGCAATCTACAAACCGGATGTCGATTTCGTTACGCGATTTTTATCGGGGCTGTTTACAGACTCATTAGTCCAGCCAAAACATAACTCCATAATTCCAGCCTATTTCGGCAAGGGTGGAAACTGGACTTGTATAGTCAGTTAACTTCTTTGCCTCGGGAAGATGGATCGAGGCTCAGGTACTTGATATCAGAAACATACTGCAGTCCCACAAAACAAGGTAAATTTCATACGTTGCCATGAACAAGGGAAGATATGAAGGTGTTGCCTACATTCCCTATTAACTGTAATGTTGTTTCATTGTACCTAATGCAGAACTATACAACAAAGCTTCATGATCAGGTAGCAATGTGGATTTGGGGTTTACTTTCAGAGCAGATGGATATATGGTAATATATATGTAATATCTTGGGTACAAAACTGCCCGTTGTTTTGCGACAAAAGGGCCCGTAGTATTGCGACTCACGTTTGTCAACAAGTACGTTATGTTTAGATTACTATGAACTAGTTTCATATTCCACTTATCATGAGAATGATCAAACATTAAAACGTACTGATTTCACAATATCTGATACTGGGCGAAAAGCTGTTATTCACCGATCAGTCAGCAAAATGTACAAATACTCAGCAACAAAAGTTCCTGTGACACGATATAAAACGAGAACCTGATCAAAGTAAACACACACATTTGAAAGTATTCATATTTTCAAAAAGACAATGGACCAGTAAAACAAGTTTACACATGTAATGACACATGTCGAGCACAGAAATAACGTTATAATTAGAGAAAGATGCTTAAGCAGAATTGTCAATTCACACGCCAGTAGTAGCGTCTGTGTCCTCCTCTCGCTTGAATGCAAGCACAGTATTGTGTGATGGCATCCCATATCTCCACCAGCCTGTCTCTCAGTTCCTGTACTGTAGTCGGAGCATGTTATAAACATCGGGGACGGCGGTCTATTTCATCCCACATGCGTTCAATTGGAGGACAATCCGGGGAGCGAGCAGGCCATGGGATCACATTCACGTTGTTCTGTCCAAGTGTTTGTTGAACAATCCGGGGTCAGGCGTTGTCATGCTGAAAAATCATGCCAGGTCCATGTTGATTGAAAAACGGCACAACGATAGGCTGGATGACCTCGTCACGGTAACTCTGACCATTCACATTGCCATTGATCACTTGCCAACGAGTTCTCTGTATCTCGGTGATTCCTCCACACACCATAACACTGCCTGCTCCGAAACGGTCTTCCTCCACAACACAGTTCTGAACGTAACGTTCAGCGCGACGTCGGGATACTTGTATTCGTCTATCGCCGTGGGAGAGGTGAAAACGAGACTCGTCTTTGAACAGAACCTGTCTCCAATGAACTGCCGTCCAACGCACTCGATGTCTACACCACTGCAGACGCAATCGGCTGTGATTGTTGGTCAGAATTGGGCGTCTGGCTGGTCTCCTCGCAACAATCCCGTCACGTCGAAGACGGCGACGTACAGTCTGTGCCGATATTCGACAAAGGCCAGGGATGGTTCTCGCAGTGATTGTTGCAGGTTGGAACTGATTTCGGAAAAAGGTGGTTAGAATCCAACGGACACTCGTTACGGGGTACCTGCGGCTCTTTGGTCAGTCTCTGACAGTGTTTGTTTGCTGCATCCGCTGCCATAACGTCTAAATGGTGTTTATGTGTACGTTCAACCGCCTAGCAACTTCACGCTGCCACGTTCCTGACTGGACCATACCAACTGCTCTCAAACGGTCATTTTCAGATAAGCGTGGCATCTCCAAACTTCAAATTATGATTACAATTTGATGTTTTTTCGTGTTGCAGTTGTCAAGACAAGCAGAAAAAAGCATACCGAATCCCTACAACACGCGTGCTTTTATACCCTGCTTTGCATCATCAATTGCATGATTGCTGCACGAAAGACACTTTTTACCTCCAGGTCATTATTTTCTGCTGAGGTTGCGTTTGTGCTACATATTCTCATATTTGTCTATCCGACGTGAATACTAGAAAGGTTTTTCTTGTGTTCAACTGATTGGAAATGAGTGTCACAGGAACTTTTGTTGTTGAGTATAGATACATCTATCATCCATACCACAGTCACCAATATGTCAAGTCTCGCTACGTGTTGGTTAGGCCTTTAGGATGTCAGCAGCTGTTGATAAATTTCGATGTTAACTCTACTTATACATGCATCAGGAACGCTGGTTATAGATGACAGATACCTAGCAAGAGCCCAGAAGGAGCTGCCCACTGTGCTTGCAGATCATGGTCCTACTAGTTTGAAGGTGAAAGGGGGTTGGCGTTGGAGCAAATACCGATCGGTTCTTGTCATCAAGCAACTTCCAAGAAGGCTAATCATACACCCGGGGTCAAAGCTGGACACCATCTGTACGAAGATATTCACGTTATTATACACTTGTCTTCGCCTCTCTCACTCCACACTGATATTGTCTTGGATGCATCCTCGTAGGGTATGACGAGGTGCCAACAATGTCTGTAAGGTCGAAACAGCAAGGAAGATTGTAAATCGCGCGAAAAAACTAAGTGGTCAGACAAAACCACATTGACCCAAATGTACAGCAGAGATAATGTGCAAGCATACATAAGCACATCATAAGGGATGCCATCCACGTTTATACATTGTAATGCAGGTTGTGTACACTTGTGAGCACAGGGCGGGCCCAAGGAAATTCCAAATAGTGGAGACCAACATATGTTATGGATGCGGGCGCTATAGTAGCGCCGGTGTCGTGGTTTGAGTGAGCACAATCCATATTACCGGGCAAAAGTCTCAGCCTCAAGTCTTGTCTGCTCAGAGTCCAGCAGAAAGAGTGTTAGCTTGTCTGCTTAGAGTACAGCAGAGAGGTGTAAAATGTGTAAGCTGCACTCTACTGACACCGCAGTAGTTATCCACCTTTTTGCATGGCGCCCACTTCGTCCATCCACAACTTGGCCTCTCTCCCAACATATTTACCTTCTCTTGGCATTCAAGTGTATGTTCATTTCAACGGCCGTTTTCGTCACACCGGGAATCTCTCATCTAATCAACATTCCTATCAATACGACAGGTCTCTCAATAATATAACAACTTTGGCCTTGTATCTTGATACATGTTCGTGATACTTATGATCTGTCAATAGGGCTAATAAGTGATAAAAGTGCGAAACTACGAGGGCTGAATGACTATCTCGACACAACATGTAGGAGAGGGCATGGCAGGCTCAGTCGTCAGAAACCGGTCATCTTGGCTTCGAATTCCAGATTCCCCTGCTTACGTTTCTAGTTTGTCAGCTTCAATCTGTGTTCATTGGTATCACCAAAATTGTAAACATCTAAGACCCGCAAAAACATATATAATTAGAAAAGCACATGTGAGGTTCATTTCGCTAGTCTATAGGATAACATAGGATACAATTATATGTACGTTTATTCGACTCATATGAGCCTGCAGTGCAGTGAACAGACCCAACAGTCAATAACATGCAAACAGAGATACAGTCGACTCAGTTCCCCAAATCGCACCTTCTCTCACAACCCTCATCCAAAACCAACAGCCTCACGACGTCACATGGTGATTATATCACAATGTCCTAGAATCTATATACATACACAACATAGAATATATCAAATACAAGGATGCCAACAAACGTCGAGACATAACCCCGCAAGTGATAATGTGTGGAATGCAGAAATAAAGTTTACACTGGATATTAATGTTGAACGTACAAGAACACCGATTATTCCCTGTGAGGAAAGAAAGTGTATTGTTTACGCGCACACTACTGGCATGCCTCTCTTGTAACTTCATTGTTTTTTCCTAAAATCACGAAACGACTTAATGTTGATTCAATCTTCCTTATTTTGTGTAATCGTTGCCGCTGAGTTTCAATATTCTTTGTGCATTTGTTCGATAATAAGGTACTGAACAGGGTCGATAGTGAGAAGTGTTTTCAATCTCTGAGTGTAGAGACTTCTGAAAGATGATCGATTCTGGTTTTGTTAGCAAGTGAAGAAAGATATATTCAACCCTACCACTCCATGGTGCAACATAACATTTTATATTAAACTGCAGAGTGCTAAATTACCCAGTTTATTGACGAGGAGACAGGCCAATAGGTAGTATGGAAACAAGGTAAATCCAT